TGTCTAACTAACAAGAAAAAATTGAGTCCATCTGGTCCAAAATTACGCCCGGTATTCAAAAAAAGGCGGACCAAGGTATGGTAAATTTTGTATCACTAAATTTTTATATGCCTATAACTCGGATATTATAAGAGATAAGTAGTATGTCCAAGCATGTTTTTTCAAGATCTCGTCGAGCGCTTTCACAAAATATAAAAATCTTTGTATTTGGGTGAAAAACAAAAAAATGGCACGAGTTTAAAAATTTTACATGTCGTAGGTACCCTACTTTGAGCCGCCACAGCGCCGTCCCTGGGGCATCTGCAGGGTTCATCTTCAAAACTTAAACTCGAATACTTCTTGGCTACGCTCACACCAAATTTTATCCCGATCGGATCAGCCGTTTAGAAATGCCAGATTTATTTCCAAAAAATTTCCATTCTGCCCCACTGTGTGCTAGTAGCTTTATGTAACTTGTTGTGGTAGGTTCGTGAATTTATTTTTAAAATTAATGATGTCTAAAAACAGTCGAAAGTTTTTATCCTTAAATGAAAAATGCGAAATTTTGGAATATTTAAAAAAAGGATCGAGTGTTACAGTGTTAAGTAAAAAGTTGCAAAATCAACGATATGTTTAATAAAAAAGACAATATTTTAAAATGTGTGAACAATACGTTTTATGGACCCGGAAAACGCAAAACATTACGATCTTCTGAGCTTCCAAAAATGGAAAAATCGCTCTATAAGTGGTTTATTTGTATGCGGAATAAAAACCTCCCTGTAATTGGGTTGATGTTTGAAGAGAAAGCCAAACAAATTCATAAAAACATTAGTGAAAACGGAAATGACTTCAAAAAGAGATACGGAATTCGGCTCCTTCAGATAAGCGGTGAAAAACTTTCTGCGCAATCTCAGTTCGTAAATCCTTTTAAAATTAAATTGAAAGCAAAGATAGAAGATTTGGGCTGATCCAATGATCAGTTGTATAATGCCGATGAGTCTGGTCTATATTGGAAACTTCTCCCACAAAAGACATATGTAACGTCATTGGAGAAAAGCGCTCCAGGTGCAAAAATGGAAAAGCAAAAGAATACTTTTTTATGCAGTGCAAATGCGTCAGGATCTCATAAAATAAAACTTTTAGTAATAGGAAAATCGAAAAATTCTCGCAGTTTTAAAAATTGTATCTGTCCCGTAAACTAGAGAAATTCAAAGTCTGCTTGGATGACTTCTTCCATTTTTAAAGAATGGTTTCACAACTGTTTTGTGCCAGAGGTAAGTAAACATGTAAAAATAGTTCAATTGGGATTTTTACTGTTTTATTTTTCATTAAGGTGACAGATTTTTTAAAGAAGAAACGATTACCAGTAAAAGCTTTACTCCTAATAGATAATGCCCCATCCCATCCACCAGAATCCGACCTTAAATCCGAGGATGGTTCCATAAAAGCTATGTTCATGCCTCCAGATGTAAAGGCTCTGATCCAGCCAATTGATCAAAATGCAATTAGAGTCACCAAACTTCATTATAGGAAAGTATTTTGGCAACAATTATTGCAAAAGAGGGGGATTTGCTTGAATCGATGAAAAAAATCACACTTAAAGAAGGAGTTTCTATTCTAGAGGCATCCTGGAACCGAGTTGGTAAAGAAACTATTGAAATATGTTTTTCAATCATAGAAACTTTTGTTTTGTAATTTGTTGATTGTGAAAATTTTTGAAATAATTTTCATTCCTTTGTAACTTTTGTGAATATAACTTCAATATTTTTTTTTTCTTGTTTAAACAATAAATTCCTTTTTCAATAAATTTGTCATTGCGTTCCAACTACAAGAGGTTATGGGCGACAAAGAAGTAAATGGTATTCCACAATTTAACGGTTGTGGATATGACGAATGGCAATTCCGAGTTCAAGTTCATATGGAAAGTTTGAACTTAGGAGAAGTTTTAACGGGCTTTGCTCCTACGGATGCAGCGAAAAGGGAAGAGTTTTTCAAGAAAGATTGTAAGGCAAGGGAACGTTTAGTGGCGTTTGTTGGTAACAATTGCTTAGGATATATTCGTGAAAAAAGAACAACAAAAGAGATGTGGGACAGCCTGAAGGAGATATTTGCAAAGAAATCAATTGTAAATCAAATTCTGGTAAGAAAACAATTGATGCAATTGAAATTAAATGATGGGGATGCTGTGGCTGAACATTTGATTCAATTCGAAAATTTAATAAGAAAATTAAAGACTGCTGGTGCTATTTTGGAAGAAAGTGACATACTTACACAATTATTTATGTCACTTCCTGAAAAATTTGATCCCCTTGTGACTGCTCTACAAAATCTAGAAGGTCAGTTGAATTTTGATATTGTAAAACAGCGCTTACTGTTAGAAGAAACCAAGATTTCAAGTCGCTACGTGGAAGAAACTGGTGCTACAAAAACTGCTTTTGCTGGTAAGAAACACAACAAAAAGAAATTTAATGGAAAATGTTTTAAATGTAACAAGGTGGGACACAAGGCAAGTGAATGTCGAAACAGTGAAGCTCGATGTGCCTTGAAAGGCAAAACAGAGGCGAAAAGTGTTTGTTTTATGGCAGATTCAAATAAAGAAAGTATAAACTTTAAATCAAAAGTTACATTTAAATTAGATTCTGGTTCAAGTGATCACCTAGTAAATAAAAGATATTATTTTAGTGAGATAAATGATATTGTGAATCCAATTCAAATAAATATTGCTAAAGATGATCAATACTTAATGGCGAATCATTTGGGATTAATTAATTGCATTTCAAATAAGAATGTTGAAATTACATTAAAAGACGTGTTATATGTGCCCGAATTAAGAGATAATTTACTTTCTGTTAAAAAGATGACAGCTGCAGGTATTGACGTAAAATTCAGTAAGGACACTGCCTACATATACAACAAGGGCGAGTTGATAGCTACAGGATACTTAAGAGGAAGTCTTTATGAAATTACTTTTCAACTGCAACAACATTCTGCAAATCTTTCTAATCAAGATGAAGTCAAACTCTGGCATAAACGTTTCGGTCATATTGGACAATCTTCCTTAAATGATTTGGCAAATAAGAAAATGGTAGACGGAATAAATTTCAAAGCTGGAAAGTTAGATTTTTGCGAAATTTGTGTGAAAGGTAAACATTGTCGAGATCCTTTTAATGGAACTCGTCATCGATCGTCTCGTCCACTTGAAAGGATACATTCAGATGTCTGTGGGCCTATTGATCCTATAGCTTGGGATGGATCAAAATATTTTGTATCCTTTATTGACGATTTCACCCACTTTGCAGTAATTTATGTTATTAAAAAAAAGTCCCACGTTTTCGAGAAATTTGTGGAGTATGAAGCAATGGCTACAGCTAAGTTTGGTTTATCAATTTCGAAGTTAACGGTAGATCAAGGTCGTGAGTACAACTCCAAGGAACAATTGAAGTGGTACAAATCAAAAGGCATTCAGCTAGAAGAGACAATTGCTTATTCACCACAACAGAATGGAGTCTCTGAACGTTTCAACAGAACTTTAGTTGAAAAAGTTCGTACTATGCTACTACAATCCCATATGCCGAAAAATATGTGGGTTGAAGCTGCGCTTGCTGGCGTTTATATAATTAACAGGAGTCCTACCAAAGCAATTGATGATAATGTGACTCCTGCTGAAATGTGGTTCGGTTTCAAGCCAAATGTCAAGACGCTAAGAATATTTGGATGCAAAGCCTATGCATGGGTACCAAAACCAAATAGAAAGAAGCTAGATGACAAAAGTAGACAGCTTGTTATGATTGGTTACGTGCCTAACGGATATAAACTCTGGGATATGAATGAAAAAAAAGGTTGTTACCGCGAGGGACGTAAAATTCGATGAAACTTGTTATCCGTACATGGAGCATACTGAAGTAAATCAACCACTTACAATTGTGTTAAGAACTAACGAGCAAGAAGGGGAAGATGTTATTAATAATATGCCCGTTACTGATCCAGAATTTGCTGAAGAGCCTCCAGATACAAATGAAGAAGCAGTACAAATTGCAGAAGAATACATTACTGATGATGAGTTCGAGGAATCAGAACCTGTACAAGTTTGTGATGAGGAAAGCCAGGAAGTCCGAAGAAGTCATAGAGAACGAAGGGCTCCTATGAGATTTTTAGATTATTTTACCAGTAATTCTGCAACTTCAGAAACATTTAATCATTTAAGAGAGCCTGAAAAATATTCTGAAATTTCCGGTAGACCTGATGCTGACAAATGGTTGAAAGCTATTGATGAAGAACTGGAATCGATTAATTCTAATAAAGTCTGAGTTCTTACTAAAACTCCAAAAAGTGACAAGTTATTGAAGTCCAGATGGGTATTTAAAATTAAGTGCGATGAGAATGGAAATCCTGTACGATACAAAGCCAGGTTAGTTGTAAAAGGTTTTTTACAAAAGTTTGGTATAGACTACAACGAAACGTATTCTCCTGTGGCAAAACTGACAACAATACGTGTGGTTCTTGCTATTGCGGTTAAGAAAAACATGCAACTTCATCAATTGGACATAAAAACCGCATTTTTAAATGGAGACTTGCGTGAAGAAATCTATATGGCTGTACCAGAAGGGGTGACTGCTGAAAAAGGTGTTTCCTGTCGACTACTCAAATCTCTGTATGGACTAAAACAGGCGCCTAAGTGTTGGAATGATAAGTTAAATGAATTTTTAATAAAAATTGGTTTTGTCCGTTCGAAGCATGATTATTGTCTTTATACTAAGTATGGTCAAAATGAAAACGAAGTTTTATATATAATAATGTATGTTGACGATTTATTGGTTGCTGGTTCGAACCTGACATCTATTGAAAATCTAAAAACTGAACTTTCAAAACATTTTGAGTTATCTGATTGTGGACAGTTAAAATATTTCCTAGGAATAAAATTTGAAAGAAAAAACAATAGCATAGTGATGTCTCAAGAAGCCAATATACAAAAGATTTTGGAAAGGTTTTCAATGACTTAATGTAATCCTGTCAAGACACCTATGGAAAAAGGACTACAACTCACCTATAATGTCGGTAATACAATCGATAAACCCTATCGAGAACTCTTAGGGAGTCTTATGTACGTGATGCTTTGTGTAAGGCCTGATATATGTTACCATGTGAGCTATCTCGGAAGATTTCAACAAAATCCTTCAGAAGAACATTGGCAATCATTGAAAAGAGTCTTAAGATATTTAAAAGGTACAGTTAAAAAGAAACTAATATACACAGCAAGCGACGATAATATTTTGGTTGGATATGCCGACGCCGATTGGGCAAGCGATACTACAGATCGGAAGTCGATTAGTGGTTACATATTTAAAGTTTATGGATGTACAGTATCATGGTCCAGTAAAAAGCAGCAAACAGTTGCAACATCGTCAAGTGAAGCCGAATACGTAGCCTTAAGCTCTGCAGTATCTGAAGCTATATGGCTGAGAGGCATACTTCAAGACTTAGATATTTTGAAGAATGAAACCATTACTATTAATGAAGACAATCGTGGTTGCATATGCATGGCAAATAATGTAAAGTCAAAAAGATCCAAACACATTGATATTAGACATCACTTCATTAGAGATAATGTGGAGAAAGGAGTTGTAAAAATAGAATCAATTAGTACATCAGATCAGTTGACAGATATATGCACGAAATCGTTGGATACAAAATCGTTTTTAAATTTTTGTAGTTGTTTAGGTTTATATGATTGAGAAGGGGTATTGAAATATGTTTTTCAATCATAGAAACTTTTTTTGTAATTTGTTGATTGTGAAAATTTTTGAAATAATTTTCATTCCTTTGTAACTTTTGTGAATATAACTTCAATATTTTTTTTTTTTTCTTGTTTAAACAATAAATTCCTTTTTCAATAAATTTGTCATTGCGTTCCAATTACAAGAGAAACTTTATGTAACTGTTGGAAAAATATTTTGAATATGGTAAATGATGAAGACTATCCTGAATTTAATGTTCCTTTGAGCGTTTTAAAAGAAAAGTGGCAATCAGAGGTTAGATCTTTAGAAAATACAGCTGCAGGTCTTCTACAGACATTGTGCCCTCAGGAAGTATTTGCTGTTGTAAACATTAGAGATTGGATCAATAATTCTTGTGAGGACGTAACTCCATTTGATGAAAATGATTTAATTGAAGAGTCCGACGATGATGACGACTGTTTTATTGAAGCGCCTGAAAACAACATTAAAGCCAAAGAAGCTGTCGAAATTTTTAACAAAGTTGTCCAATGGGCTGAATTTCAAACGGTCGATCAAACTGACATTAAAGTATTGAAAAAATCAGGGAATTGGCGGTAAATAAGCTGGTCGAACAAAAGAAAAAACTGAAAATAATAACCGATTATTTCCATATTTAATTATATATGTATGTACCTAACTTTTTACATTGTAAATTTTATTTATTTTTTGTCGTATTATTTTGTTTGTTTTTATGTACATACTACTACAAAAACTTTTTTAGAAATATTTGCATTTTCATTCCTTGCAGAAATGATTTGTAGAAAGAATAACTTAGTAATATATATAAAAAAATCACAATCGAAAATGTGAACAAATTCGAAAATATGAACTACCCCGACATTAATTAGTTCACATTATCGAGAGTTCACTGCAGTTTGTTAAAATGGGTCACATACTATTCTCTGGATCCAATGACGAAGACTGTTGAAAATGATTGAAATCGGTCTTTTATTTCTCCTAGTCAGCATAAACCGTACATGAACAGACATTATTTGGAACCCATATAAGATTAACAGAAATGCTTCATTATTGAAATTAATCAATAACAGTGTTTATAAAAAACTGACTTTTGGAAAACCCGGTTTTTCGGTTAACCGAAAATTGACCATTTCTAGAACCGGTTTGTCGGTTAACTGAGTATAAAAAACCGGTTAACCAAAATGCTTGGAAATCTTTAAAATATTATAACATTTAGTTGAAAAATGTCATTTTGCGAAATATTATTAATAACTTAATAAGTCATAAGAAAACGTTTACAGATCTGAAGATATTATTGATTCGTTAGGTGTGTGGAAGTTGTCATAGGAGGGATAAATAGGCCTTTGAATATATAATGCATCTATAACAATAAACAACTTAGAAACTATAATCGGGCGTGGCCGACCATATGAATATTATATGTAATCACTGTTGCCAATTTTGCTATTTTCTCGTCAAATTTAGCGATTTTTAATCCCATTTTGCGGGGAAAAATATGATTTAGCTATTAGCGGGAAATCTAGCGATTTTTCTTTAGATTTTAAGGCATTTTTTATTCATTTATATTTTGATAATATCGCTTAAAAGTTGCTACCAATGATATTTGTGCGCACAGGTAAAGTTATACGAAAAACTTTAAAAGGGGTATATTTTGTTGTACTCAATTAAAAAACGAATATTTCATTATTCTAGTCTTTTAGTAAATGAGTGATATGATAATAAAATTTACCATAATTCTAAATCCATAAAGTCCTAAAAATTTACAACATTTCTAAGGCGTATATTGCATATCGATATTGCAGATAAACTTCCCACAAAAGGAGTGTATAATAATAATCTTGGGTGCCCCGGTAGGCTAGTTGGTAGTGTGCTAGCCTGTCAGTCTGGGGGTTGTGGGTTCGAGATCCTGATCTGCTACACTACAACGGTCGTACGGTTATCGTCACCCTGCTCGGTAAATTAGGTTAGAATATAATTTGTAAATGTATTGTAATAGAAAAATAAATAATACTCTTATGCCGAAAATAAAGGATCGATCCATAAAGGCCAGTATTTCGAAATTCAATTTGTCTTTACAACATTTCTAAAGCAATCTGTATAGGGTCGCATTTTCCTAACCCAAAGTGAAAATATTTAACATTGGTTGGTTGGTTTACGTGGTAGTTCACTACACGCGAACTGTCAAGTAGAATCGAAGAGACTCCGTTTTGACCGGACCACTCCACTCGTCAGATGTTGTATTTGTACTATTAGTTGCTACTGGAACGGCGTCGGAGATATCAAGAGCAGATCCCGTTCTTGCAAGCTCATCTGCCTGTTCATTACCGTAGTAGTCCCTATGCGCAGGGACCCAAACAAGGGTAATGTCAGACAGCCGACCCAGCATTGACAGATCCTTCTTGCATTGTCTAACTAATAAGGAAGTAGTAGTATAAGAGTTTAGTGAGAGAAGTGCCGCTTGACTATCGACAAAGATTCCTATGTTGCCGCGAATATTGAGGTCATGTAATACCCTACAGGCTGACATTATCGCAAAAATTTCAGCCTGAAAGACACTACAGTTGTTGGGAAGACGGTGGGATATACTTACCCCAGCTTCTTCACAGAAGACACCAGAACCAACGCCGCAGTTCATTTTAGAACCATCTGTAAAGATTCTGGTGGTATATTCGCTCGGTAGATTACCTCTACACCACTCGCTCCTGGATGGAACTGACTTTGAAGACTCTATCAAAGTCCGTGTGTGGGGTAATATAGTCGGATGGTTGGTTCAAGATTGGAGGTAACAAGCTTAAAATCTTACCGTGTCCATATGTTCTTGATCTCCAACTTCCGGATGAGTTAAGCATTACTGCGCTGCAAGCAGATATGGTCATTATGTGCAGATCTATGGGTAGGATGTGCAATATAGTGTTCAGAGCTTCTGAAGGACTAGTTCTTATAGCACCTGTTATCCCAATGCATGCTGATCTCTGAACTTTGTATAGTTGATCCACAACAAACTTCTTCTTAGTTGAAGTCCACCATACAAGAGATCCGTATGTAAGAATAGGACGTACTATAGCTGTGTACATCCATTTAACTATGTTGGGACTAAGTCCCCATTTCATTCCAAACATCTTACGACAGGTATAGTAAGCGACCGTTGCCTTCTTGACTCTGTGCTGGATGTTGAGTTTCCATGATAATTTGGAGTCTAGAATAGTTCCTAGATATTTGGCATTGTTTGATAAGGGGATTTCGCGGTTTTTTAACCGTGGCAGGTTGAAGCTTGGAATCTTGGTCTTTGTTGTGAATAGTACCAGTTCTGTCTTGCTTGGATTTACTCCTAGACCACTGTCTGTGGCCCAGTTACTGAGTAGCACCAGAGCACCAGACATAATATCGCTAATCACGTCTGGGAACATTCCTGATAACAGTATCACAACGTCGTCCGCATAAGCAACGACCTTTATCCCTCTGTTGTCCAGTTCCATAAGAATCGTATTAACAACGATAAGCCAAAGTAGTGGAGAGATTACACCGCCCTGAGGTGTGCCTCGTTCAACTTGTTTGGACTTAACGCTATTACCAAGACTTGCAGTAATTATTCTAGATTTCAACATAGTTACCAACCAGTTGCTGATATATTCTTCAACATCCAGATTAGCGAGAGCTTGTTGAATTGCAGAAGTATTTACGTTATTGAAGGCACCTTCTATGTCTAAGAAGGCTCCCATAGTGTATTGTTTGAATTCGAGGTATCTTTCTATAACTCTTACAACCTCATGTAGAGCTGTCTCAGTAGATCGTCCTTTAAGGTAGGCATGTTGACTGGTTGAAAGCCGTGATGAGCTCTCTAGCCGTTGCCTAATATGTGAGTCGATGAGTCTTTCCAGCGTTTTGAGCTGAAAAGATGAAAGACTAATTGGACGAAAGTCCTTCGCATTTTCATGACTCCTTTTGCCAGCTTTGGGAATAAAAACGACCTTAACCTTTCTGCAGTTTACGGGAACATGGTTGAGAGAGAGGCTGAGCGTGTATATTCTATGAAGCCAGGGGATGATATGTTCTTTTGCACTTTGTAGCATATTTGGCAAAATGCCATCAGGCCCTGGTGATTTGAAAGGGGAAAAACTATCAATCGCCCATGAGATTCTATCATAAGACATTTATTGATTCCCGTTAGAGTCCTTCTGTCAGTGAAGATTTCCTTGACAGCATCTTTGCAGCCAGGGAAGTGAGTATTCAGTGGGGTGTCAAGAGATTCTGCCGAGGATTCTGACCAAGTGTCGTCCTTCCTCTTAATATAGGTTGGATTAGATTGGCCTTTAGCAAGAATTTTGCTAAGTCTAGCAGAGTCCTTTGTGTTATCTATAGATTCGCAGAAACTTCTCCATGAGGTTCTTTTTGCGAGTGCTATAGCTTTCTTATAAACTTTTAGTTTGTCGCGGTATGGCTGCCACGATTTATTGTTGTAGCATGTGTTAAAGGCCCTACGTGTTTCCTTACGTAGCCTAGATAGCTCCGAATTCCACCATGGAGGGAAGCTTTTCTTTACCTTTGTGATTGGGCAGGAGACTTCGAAAGCCTTACCTAAGACTTTGCTAAAGTTGTCTTCTATCTTTTCAAGACCAGTGATTGAATCATCAACCACGGGAATTTTCTTGAGCTTATGTCTAAGGATCCCTTTATACTTGAACCAATCGGTTCTTCTTGGGTTCCTATAGACCATTTTTTCCGTCGAGTTTTGTAGTATAATATCGAAGAGGATCCAATTGTGATCTGAAAAAGATTTTTCATTGGATACCCTCCACCTATCAACTGATATTTTAGATCTGTCGCTAATGAGTGTAATGTCCAGTACTTCCTCCCACCCATTATAATTATCCGTACTTGGAAAAATGAATGTAGGTTTGTTGCCAGAGTTACATATGTTTAGGTTGTTAGTATTAATGAAATTAAAGATTGACTCACCCCTTTCATTAGTTTCGCTGCTACCCCAGATTGTATGCCTTGCATTGGCATCACAGCCTAGGATTATGTCGTTAGATGTCTCAATTACAGCCAGGAGATCGCTCACTTCGTCTGGTGGTGCTGTCTTCTCGTGTGCCATATAGCTTGAGGCAATCATGAAGCTTCTGTTGTGCGGTAGCTCGACCTTTGCGACTGTTAGGTCTTCTGAGCTAAGCTGTGTACAAAGAAAAATGTTAATCGATTTTTTAGCAATTAGACATGATCGTGGCCTACCATTACTTCTTGCATATAGTATGTATGTAGATGCTGGGAACCCTTTAACTTCTGAGTCCGTGACCCAGGGTTCTTGAACCAGGCAAATGTCCAGGTTTTCCTCGGCTAGGAGAACCCGTAGATTGTCTGAAGCACACTTTGAGTGCTTCAAATAAATTTGCACTATCTTCAGTGCCATTGTCAGGTTTATCAGGTGGCTCGGAGAGTTTCATGCCAGTGAGCAGAGAGTTGGCAGCTTCCATCTCATCCGTCTCTTCACTCCCCGATTTTGTCGGCCGGAACACCTTTACTTTGGCGCCCCTCACCCCAAAGAACAGCCTAAAGCCCACCTTCTCCAGCTCAACGGAGCCAGCTTCTGTGATGGCGAGAATTAGACATGTGAGCCCTTCGCCTTGTTCTGTGCGGATGATAGCCCAGTCATTCATGTGTATGTTGGGATTCTGCCGTTTGAGGCATTCCAACATCTTGGGTGCTTCGGCGCTCATCTTTGGTAACCAAACTCTTGCACGAGGTCTCATTGGAATTTCCTCAGCAGGGATTAGTTTAAGGCTTAAACCTACCCATGCATCTTACCATCCTCAACCTGTGAGCGGTTTCGCTTGGACCTTTCGATTTCAGCAGCCATTTTGGATGTGCTGGGTGCGGTCTCCAAAGACTTTTGGTACTCATCCACCACAGCTTGATATTTGACGCGATCATCTTCATCGCGTTCATGAGGAGTACCATTAGCAGCATTCTTGGCAATCTTGTCGAGAATGAAAACAGCCTTGGTATATCTAGCTTTGAGGATGTCTTTCTGACTTTTCCTTTTTGGCCTTTTTTTCCTCGAATTGTCGCCAGCCTTGGCGTCGGATTGAGGAGTATTTGTCGGGCTTTTTGAGGGTAGGAGAGTGCTATGTCTTTCATTCCCACTACCTGAAGGACTCACTACCGTCTCTTGACTAGAGGCGAGAAGTTCGTCTTCGGATGAGGATCCAATCTCATCCTTTCTTCGTTGTTTTTGTTTTTTTTCTGTATTTGTTTCCATATGTTGGTCCCACGAGTAGGCACGTAAGGGAAGAGACGGTCCATGCAGTGACGGCGTACATGGACTAGACTAGGATTTACAACCGGCCCGTGTCGTGGCACCGGAGGGGAGCTGTTAGCGACTAATCTTCTTTAACCACTGATTAGCCATTCAGATTCTCGGCACTGCTACCAACCACCTTAACCTTACAAGTGGGGGATGGGGATGGGGAGGAGACGGGATTGTTTATAGGAAAAATTGGGAATTGAGGATAGGAGGGATAACCTTTGGTCATGAAGGCTTTTGAGTTCAGTGTCTTCCAAATACAAAGGGCTTATGCCGAGTGTATTTGCAATGCAAAAGAACCACAGCCAACACTAAAGCCACCACATCGCGGCAAGATTGTTATCCAGGTGGTGGAAGTCAATTACTATATGATTGCCTTTCTACAAAAAATTGTTGACAAATTATAAGATTTTGTAAAATATTTCACTATGCAGTTGACTTTTTATAAATTTGCAAGATATTTCTACTTTTATATGGACTGGAAACTGGAAACTGATTGTAAGATTGTTTCTAGAACGTTTTCAAGATATTTCTACTTTTGTGAAATAAATGACTATTCGGTTAACTTTTTAGAAATTTACAAGATCTTTCTACTTCATATAGAGATTTTGAGAAATCTTTGTATTTTTTTTTTTAATTTGTAACTGAATTTAAGACTGTTCAGTGTGACTTTATAAAAGAAATGAAATAAGTCTCTATTTAGTTGACTTCAGTAAATTGCAAGATTTTTTGAAATATTTCACTATTTGGTTGACTTTGTAGAAAAAATAGTTGAAAAATTAGAAGTTTTTGTGAAATATTGTACTATTCAGTTGAGTTTTTTAGAAAAATGTCCTAAAACTCAACTGGTCAGTAAATTACAAGATTTCATTATTCAGTTGACTTTTTAGACATTTTCAAGATATTTCAACTTTTTATAGAGATTTTGAGAAATCTTTGCATTTTTTTAAATTTGTAACTTAATGTAATACTGTTTCTAGATTGTTCAGTAAATTTCAAGATTTTGTGAAATATTTCACTATTTGGGTGACTTTATGAAAGAAATGAAATAAGTTGACTTCAGTAAATTGCAAGATTTTGTGAAATATTTCACTATTTGGTTGACATTCTAGAAAAAATTGTTGACAAATTAGAAGATTTTGTGAAATATTTCACTATTCAGTTCAAGTTTTATAAATTTGCAAGATATTTCTACTTTTTATATATATTTTGTGAAATCTTTCGTTGACTTTTTCGAAATTTGCTAGTGAAATCTATCACTATTTGGCTGACTTTCTAGAAAAACTAGGACAAAATAAGAAAATTTTGTGAAATATTTCACTATGCAGTTGACTTTTTATAAATTTGCAAGATATTTCTACTTTTGATATAGATTTTGTGAAATTTTGAATTTTTTGTTAAACTGGTTGTATTGATTGTAATATTGTTTCTAGATCATTTTCAAGATATTTCTACTTTTTAGAAATTTACAAGATATTTCTACTTTATATAGAGATTTTGAGAAATCTCTTCATTTTTTTAAATTTGTAACTGAATTTAAGACTGTTCAGTAAATTGCAAGATTTTGTGAAATATTTCGCTATTTGGATGACTTTATAAAAGAAATGAAATAAGTCTCTATTTAGTTGACTTCAGTAAATTGCTATTTGGTTGACTTTGTAGAAAAATAAATGAGAAATTAGAAGATTTTGTGAAATATTTCACTGTTCAGTTGACTTTTTAGAAAATGGCCTAAAACTCAACTGGTCAGTAAATTACAAGATTTCATTATTCAGTTGACTTTTTACAAATTTGCAAGATATTTCTACTTTTTATAGAGATTTTGAGAAATCTTTGCTTTTTTTTAAATTTGTAACTAAATGTAAGCCTGTTTCTAGACTATTCAGTAAATTGCAAGGTTTTGTGAAATATTTCACTATTTGGGTGACTTTATAAAAGAAATGAAATAAGTTGACTTCAGTAAATTGCAAGGCTTTGTGAAATATTTCACTATTTGGTTGACATGCTAGAAAAAATCGTTGATAAATTATAAGATTTTGTAAAATATTTCACTATGTAGTTGAATTTTTATAAATTTGCAAGATATTTCTACTTTTGATATATATTTTGTGAAATCTTTCGTTGACTTTTTAGAAATTAGCAAAATAGAAATTTGCTAGTGAAATCTATCACTATTTGGCTGACTTTCTAGAAAAACTAGGACAAAATAAGAAGATTTTGTAAAATATTTCACTATTCAGTTGACTTTTAAGAAAAAATGTTCAGTAAATTACAATACATGATTTCATTATTCAGTTGACTTTCTAGACATTTTCAAGATATTTCTACTAGTAAATTACAAGATTTCATTATTCAGTTGACATTTTCAAGATATTTCTACTTTTGTGAAATATATGACTCTCCAGTTGACTTTTTGCAAATTTGCAAGATATTTCTACTTTTATAGAGATTTTGAGAAATCATTGCATTTTTTAAATTTGGAACTTAATGTAAGACTGTTTCTAGAATGTTCAGTAAATTGCAAGATTTTGTGAAATATTTCACTATTTGGGTGACTTTATAAAAGAAATGAAATAGGTCTCTATTTAGTCGACTTCAGTAAATTGCACGATTTTATGAAATATTTCACTATTTGGTTGACTTTCTACAAAAAATCGTTGACAAATTATAAGATTTTGTAAAATATTTCACTATGCAATTGACTTCTTATAAATTTGCAAGATTTTCTACTTTTTATATGGACTGGAAACTGGAAACTGATTGTAAAATTGTTTCTAGAACGTTTTCAAGATATTTCTTCTCTTGTGAAATAAATGACTATTCCGTTGACTTTTTAGAAATTTACAAGATATTTCTACTTTATATAGAGATTTTGAGAAATCTTTGTATTTTTTTTAATTTGTAACCGAATTTAAGACTGTTCAGTAGAAAAAATAGTTGAAAAATTAGAAGTTTTTGTGAAATATTGCACTATTCAGTTGAGTTTTTAGAAAAATGTCCTAAAACTCAACTGGTCAGTAAATTACAAGATTTCATTATTCAGTTGACTTTTTAGACATTTTCAAGATATTTCTACTTTTGTGAAATATATGACTATTCAGTTGACTTTTTACAAATTCATTCGACTTCAGTAAATTGGACGATTTTATGAAATATTTCACTATTTGGTTGACTTTCTACAAAAAATCGTTGACAAATTATAAGATTTTGTAAAATATTTCACTATGCAGTTGACTTTTTATAAATTTGCAAGATATTTCTACTTTTTATATGGACTGGAAACTGGAAACTGATTGTAAGATTGTTGCTAGAACGTTTTCAAGATATTTCTACTTTATATAGAGATTTTGAGAAATCTTTGTATTTTTTTTAATTTGTAACCGAATTTAAGACTGTTCAGTAAATTGCAAGATTTTGTGAAATATTTCACTATTTGTGTGACTTTATAGAAGAAATGAAATAAGTCTCTATTTAGTTGACTTCAGTAAATTGCAAGATTTTATGAAATATTTCACTATTTGGTTGACTTTGTAGAAAAAATAGTTGAAAAATTAGAAGTTTTTGTGAAATATTGCACTATTCAGTTGAGTTTTTTAGAAAAATGTCCTAAAACTCAACTGGTCAGTAAATTACAAGATTTCATTATTCAGTTGACTTTTTAGTCATTTTCAAGATATTTCAACTTTTTATAGAGATTTTGAGAAATCTTTGCATTTTTTTAAATTTGTAACTTAATGTAATACTGTTTCTAGATTGTTCAGTAAATTTCAAGATTTTGCGAAATATTTCACTATTTGGGGACTTTATAAAAGAAATGAAATAAGTTGACTTCAGTAAATTGCAAGATTTTGTGAAATATTACACTATTTGGTTGACTTTGTAGAAAAAATAGTTGACAAATTAGAAGATTTTGTGAAATATTTCACTATTCAGTTCAAGTTTTATAAATTTGCAAGATATTTCTACTTTTTATATATATTTTGTGAAATCTTTCGTTGACTTTTTCGAAATTTGCTAGTGAAATCTATCACTATTTGGCTGACTTTCTAGAAAAACTAGGACAAAATAAGAAAATTTTGTGAAATATTTCACTATGCAGTTGACTTTTTATAAATTTGCAAGATATTTCTACTTTTGATATAGATTTTGTGAAATTTTGAATTTTTTCTTAAACTGGTTGTATTGATTGTAATATTGTTTCTAGATCATTTTCAAGATATTTCTACTTTTTAGAAATTTACAAGATATTTCTACTTTATATAGAGATTTTGAGAAATCTCTTAATTTTTTTAAATTTGTAACTGAATTTAAGACTGTTCAGTAAATTGCAAGATTTTGTGAAATATTTCACTATTTGGGTGACTTTATAAAAGAAATGAAATAAGTCTCCATTTAGTTGACTTCAGTAAATTGCTATTTGGTTGACTTTGTAGAAAAATAGTTGAGAAATTAGAAGATTTTGTGAAATATTTCACTATTCAGTTGACTTTTTAGAAAAATGGCCTAAAACTTAACTGGTCAGTAAATTACAAGATTTCATTATTCAGTTGACTTTTTACAAATTTGCAAGATATTTCTACTTTTTATAGAGATTTTGAGAAATCTTTGCATTTTTTTAAATTTGTAACTAAATGTAAGCCTGTTTCTAGATTTTGTGAAATATTTCACTATTTGGGCGACTTTTTAGAAATTAGCAAAATAGAAATTTGCTAGTGAAATCTATTACTATTTGGCTGACTTTCTAGAAAAACTAGGACAAAATAAGAAGATTTTGTGAAATATTTCACTATTCAGTTGACTTTTTAGAAAAATGTTCAGTAAATTACAATACAAGATTTCATTATTCAGTTGACTTTCTAGACATTTTCAAGATATTTCTACTAGTAAATTACAAGATTTCATTATTCAGTTGACATTTTCAAGATATTTCTACTTTTGTGAAATATATGACTCTT